TGGGACCAGAAGTTTATTCATCATACATGTAAGTAATCACTTTGTTTATCTGATTAACACTAAGGAGCAGACAGGATTATTTAACAGAATTAATGCATTTTCACTACATTATCAAGAGCCCCACCCTTACACCAGCACATCTGACCCAGGGGTCATGCAATTCACTACTCTGGAAGAAGTAATCATGCTCATCATAACTATACACTTAGCTTCTTTGCTTTTTAACCAGAAGCAGAAAAGAATATTTTCAGAGAAATTTTGCTTTTTCACTATATAATCAATAGAGCCCCCCCCCCCCTTTTCACCAGAACCCTTGACCCTGGGGCCATGAAATTCACAATTTTGGAAGGGGCATACTTGCGTATCATAACAATGTACTAATAGTTTGTTTAAATAATACCCAGGCGCAGAGAAGAAGATTTTTAAAGAAATAATTCACCTTCACTATAGGATATATATGGCCCCGCCCTAGCACCAGAACCCCTGATCCAGGGTCCATGAAATTCACAATTTTGGAAGAGGCATCCTTGCTTATCATAACTATGTATTTAATTTGTTTAAATAAAACCCAGGAGTAGAGAAGATTTTTAAAGCATTAATGCATTTTCACTATATGATTTATATAGCCCAGCCCTAGCACCAGAACCCCTGATCCAGGGTCCATGAAATTCACAATTTTGGAAGAGGCATCCTTGCTTATCATAACTATGTATTTAATTTGTTTAAATAATACCCAGGAGTAGAGAAGATTTTTAAAGCATTAATGCATTTTCACTATATGATTTATATAGCCCAGCCCTAGCACCAGAACTCTTGACCCTGGGGCCATGAATTTCACAATTTTGGTAGAGTCACCCTTGCTTATCATAACTATGTATTCAATTTGTTTCAATAATACCCAGGAGTAGAGAAGAAGATTTTCAAAGAAATAATGCACTTTCACTATATGATTTATATAGCCCCGCCCTAACACCAGAACCCCTGCCCCTGGGGCTATGAATTTCACAATTTTGGTAGAGTCACTCTTGCTTATCATAACTATGTATTCAATTTGTTTCAATAATACCCAGGAGTAGAGAAGAAGATTTTCAAAGAAATAATGCACTTTCACTATATGATTTATATAGCCCCGCCCTAGCACCAGAACCCCTGACCCTGGGGCCATGAATTTCACAATTTTGGTAAAGTCACTCTTGCTTATCATAACTATGTATTCAATTTGTTTCAATAATACCCAGGAGTAGAGAAGAAGATTTTCAAAGAAATAATGCACTTTCACTATATGATTTATATAGCCCCGCCCTAACACCAGAACCCCTGACCCTGGGGCCATGAATTTCACAATTTTGGTAGAGTCACTCTTGCTTATCATAACTATGTATTCAATTTGTTTCAATAATACCCAGGAGACAGGTCACAACGTATTTCAACTAGTATACGTCCCTGATGTATTAATTGATTTTTTTAGGTCACCTGAGTCACTCAGGTGACCTATTGCTATCCGTTTTTGTCCGTCGTCGTCCGTCGTGCGACGTGCGTCGTGCGTTAACATTTAAACATTTTCAGCTTTTTCTCTGAAACCGCTCAACCAATTTCAGCCAATTTTGGCATATAGCATCTATGGGTGAAGGGGGACAAAAATTGTGAATTTCATGGTCCCTGCCCCCCTGGGGCCTGAGGGGTGGGGCTAAAACCACCAAAATTAATGCAATCTTTAAAAATCTTCTTCTTTACTCCTGGACATCAAGCAGTCAAACTGTTGACATGATTGTAATAAGCATTGAGCCCTCTACCAAAATTGTGAAATTCATGGCCCCAGGGTCAGGGGTTCTGGTGCTAGGGCGGGGCTATATAGATCATATAGTGAAAGTGCATTATTTCTTTGAAAATCTTCTTCTCTACCCCTAGGTATTATTGAACAAAATTGAATACATAGTTATGATAAGCAAGAGTGACTTTACCAAAATTGTGAAATTCATGGCCCCAGGGTCAGGGGTTCTGGTGTTAGGGCGGGGCTATATAAATCATATAGTGAAAGTGCATTATTTCTTTGAAAATCTTCTTCTCTACTCCTGGGTATTATTGAAACAAATTGAATACATAGTTATGATAAGCAAGGGTGACTCTACCAAAATTGTGAAATTCATGGCCCCAGGGTCAGGGGTTCTGGTGCTAGGGCGGGGCTATATAAATCATATAGTGAAAGTGCATTATTTCTTTGAAAATCTTCTTCTCTACTCCTGGGTATTATTGAAACAAATTGAATACATAGTTTTGATAAGCAAGAGTGACTCTACCAAAATTGTGAAATTCATGGCCCCAGGGTCAGGGGTTCTGGTGTTAGGGCGGGGCTATATAAATCATATAGTGAAAGTGCATTATTTCTTTGAAAATCTTCTTCTCTACTCCTGGGTATTATTGAAACAAATTGAATACATAGTTATGATAAGCAAGAGTGACTCTACCAAAATTGTGAAATTCATAGCCCCAGGGGCAGGGGTTCTGGTGTTAGGGCGGGGCTATATAAATCATATAGTGAAAGTGCATTATTTCTTTGAAAATCTTCTTCTCTACTCCTGGGTATTATTGAAACAAATTGAATACATAGTTATGATAAGCAAGGGTGACTCTACCAAAATTGTGAAATTCATGGCCCCAGGGTCAAGAGTTCTGGTGCTAGGGCTGGGCTATATAAATCATATAGTGAAAATGCATTAATGCTTTAAAAATCTTCTCTACTCCTGGGTATTATTTAAACAAATTAAATACATAGTTATGATAAGCAAGGATGCCTCTTCCAAAATTGTGAATTTCATGGACCCTGGATCAGGGGTTCTGGTGCTAGGGCGGGGCCATATATATCCTATAGTGAAGGTGAATTATTTCTTTAAAAATCTTCTTCTCTGCGCCTGGGTATTATTTAAACAAACTATTAGTACATTGTTATGATACGCAAGTATGCCCCTTCCAAAATTGTGAATTTCATGGCCCCAGGGTCAAGGGTTCTGGTGAAAAGGGGGGGGGGGGCTCTATTGATTATATAGTGAAAAAGCAAAATTTCTCTGAAAATATTCTTTTCTGCTTCTGGTTAAAAAGCAAAGAAGCTAAGTGTATAGTTATAATGAGCATGATTACTTCTTCCAGAGTAGTGAATTGCATGACCCCTGGGTCAGATGTGCTGGTGTAAGGGTGGGGCTCTTGATAATGTAGTGAAAATGCATTAATTCTGTTAAATAATCCTGTCTGCTCCTTAGTGTTAATCAGATAAACAAAGTGATTACTTACATGTATGATGAATAAACTTCTGGTCCCAGGGTGAGAGACTCTGGTGTTTCTCGGTGGGGATGGGAGGTGGGGGGGGGGGGGGGGGGGGCTGGGGGGCTCTATTGATAATGTAGTGAATCTGTAGTAAAAACTGCATTATTTCTTTGAAAATCTTCTCTGCACCTCGACATATCAGAGGCAAAAAGAGTAAAAGTTTTGATAAATATTTTTGAACATCTGGGCCATTTTGTCAAGTGTTCTGGTCCTGGCCAGGGCTCTATTAATTTGTATTCTACTGAGGGGAGTTATTCCCCTTTGCCATTTACTTTTGATAATTAGTCACTGTAAATAATGTACTTGAAAGGTTAATAGAATAAGAGAATTTTGCAAGATTTTTTATTGTATAATACAAAAAGTACTTTCATAGTTTTAATGATCAGGTAGACTTGTAAGTAATAGATAAATAAAAATGAGACAAAAATAACTTGTCTTATTCAATGTTCATCAAAGACCAAGAGAGTCCAATGTAAGAGATTTCAACAAGGAATTAAAATAGTACAGAAGCATTGATAGTTTGTTAATATACTGTATGGTGATAGTGATAAATGGGGAACAGATTAGAACCTAATTTATGAACTGTTAATGAACACTAGATTAATTATTTTGTTGAACCTGATCACCCTATTTTTCTTGCTTTTGGGCAACAAAGCTTCACTTTTCAGTTCATTTTATACTCTATGGATTCTCTAAATTGTTGTATTATACTCAGGTGACCGTTAAGGCCCTTGGGCCTCTTGTTTCTATTAAATAATAATCACAGTTTATTCACGTAGTTCAATAAAGTAACATTCAATTATCGAAGAAAGAAGAAAATTCTCGAAACAATATTTCTTTAGCCAAAACAAAACCGTAATAACTATGTGCAGTTTTGGTTGTTAGTGTATGACGTTGGCTTCATCACTAGCTGCACGGACTATCATGATCTCTGCATGTACAGTACTGTTGATTACCTGTATAATGTGTGCGCTCAAGCGGAAAGGGATTTCGCATGGTGACTGTTTATTTCACCTCTTTGTGTAAAACAATGGGCTTGGATAGAGTCGCATTTATGCAATGTATTGTTAAAATGACACTTGTAAAAAAAAATTTTTTTGATCGGGCGGGGGGGGGTTTCCCGAACCCCCCTGAATCCGCCACTGTAATACAAAAAGTACTTTCATAGTTTTAATGATCAGGTAGACTTGTAAGTAATAGATAAATAAAAATGAGACAAAAATAACTTGTCTTATTAAATGTCCATCAAAGATCAAGAGAGGCCAATGTAAGAGATTTCAACAAGGAATTAAGATAGTACAGAAGCAGTGATAGTTTGTTAATTTACTGTATGGTGATAGTGTTAAATGGGGAACAGATTAGAACCTAATTTATGAACTGTTAATGAATGCTAGACTAATTATTTTTTTTTATCCTGATCACTCTATTTTTCTTGCTTTTGGGCAACAAAGCTTCACCTTTGAGTTCATGTTATACTCTATGGATCCTCTAAATTGTTGTATTATACTCAGGTGACCATTAAAGCCCTTGGGCCTCTTGTTTTATTTTATAAGTATAAATTAAAATTGCTGTTTACTGGATCCTTTAGAGGGTTGTATTATACTCAAGTAACCAAATAGGCTCTTAGGTCTCTTGTTTGATAAAGTTAATTTCAAAAATCATTCATTTCTATTTTTCCACAGGTCGTGAAAGCATTTGTAATAAGAACTGAGCATTACAAAGCAAGAGATGAGAGTGAACTGAGAAAGGAACTGCAGGAACATGTCAAATCAATCACAGCCCCATACAAGTACCCAAGAAAGGTACATCAAATTAATCAATCCCCAAATACATAAGCAAAAAGGTCTTACAAGTCAATTGACCCCCCTCTAATACAGGTGTACCCCAAAGCAGTCTGTCAAGTTGGTCAAGTTTCCAATATGCATCCTAATAAGCTCTGTCAAGTCATTAAAGACCTCATATAAGTTATTAAGAAACTGCTGGGAAATTTTACAGATAGTGTAATTAGGGCCCCGCAAGGATTTGCGGGTGCCCTATAGTAATCACTCTGTCTGTCTTTCTGTCCGTCTGACATTCTTCCGTCCACAAATTTTCTGTTTTTTTCTAATAACTTTTTTTTGTAATTGACCAATTAAGTTCAAATTTGGTATGTTGGTTGAAGAGGCAGTAAGACATATTTTGGTGCTAAGTTTGGTTCTCTATGTCATCCACTTTGGAGCTTGGGTGGTGGGGTAGATTCCTTAACTTTACATTAGAATGAATGCCAGGGCAAAGAGAGAAAACTGCTGAGAATGTTCCTATTGTAAACTATGAAAGCTGCAACTAGTCCCATGGGATTAATTAACTTTCCTCTTGAAGAAAATCCAAAGCATTATCTGTTTCTGTCAAATTGAGGTTAATTAACACCTCTGTCTGCAAATGAAGTTTGTTTTGAAGTTAAGGTCAATTCTGAATGATGTTTACATTCTTTGAAATGTGGATTTAAATGATGTTCATACTTTATTTTGGTAAAATACAAAATGAGTTATGATTTTATTGAATTCTAAAAACAAGGTATGCATAAAAATATGTTTTTTTTTATTTATTTATTTTTTTTATTTATTTATTAGCTCTTCTGAGCCAAAGGCTCAAAGAGCTAATGCTATGGCCATTTGTGCGGTGTGCGTAAACTTTTTAGAATATGGGTCATAACTCAAGAACCCCTTGGCCAATTATTGTCAAATTTGTCACAGGGTATCCTTGGCCCAAGGGCTCCCTTTTATACTAAAACTGGGGTTGTGACCCTTTAACAAGGGGAGATAATTAGGAAAATAGAAACAAAAGTACTGGTTGCTAAAAAATCTTCTTCTCAAGAACCACTGGACAGATTATCACCAAACTTACACAAAAGGATGAGGATATGTTGTAGATTAAAATTTGCACGGGGATTTACCCTGGGGCAAAGGGCGTGGTCTCAAGGTCACTTCAAAGTTGACCAAAAATTACATTTTATTAAAATGTTGATATTTTGCTTACTATAAGGACTAGGACCATCAAATCTTGTCAGTTGGTGCATCTAAGGACCTCATATCATTTTGACTCAAAAGTAGGTCATGGTGACCTACATTTTAAATTTTGCGGCCATTCTTTTTCAAAATGATTTAGAGGCATATTTTGAACAATTTAAGGCCTATGATCATCAAACTTTGTCAGTTGATGCATCTTGGGTCCTCAAAGTACGTCAACTAAAAAGTAGGTCACCTTGACCTTTTTTTTGAATTTTATGGCTAATCTTTTTTAAAACAATTAAGGTCATTAATTCGAATATGGGGAGGCTTAGAATCATTAAATCTTGTAAGATGATGCATCTTGGGGCCATAAAACATATTCATTAAAAAGTAGGTCACAGTGACCTACTTTTTGAACTTTGCAGGCATTCGATTTCAAAGCGTTTTAGAGGCATAATTTGGACATTTTAAGTCCTATGATCATAAAACTTTGTAAGTTGATGCATCTTGGGTCCTCAAAAAAGGTCAACTGAAAAGTAGGTCACCATGACCTACTTTTCAATTTATATGACTATAATTAAATATTTCAGGTACTAATTGGCTTAGAATCATCAAACTTTGTCAGTTGATGCCTCTTGGGTCTTCGGAGTAGGTTGACTAAAAAGTAGGTCACAGTGACCTACTTTTGAAAATTTATGGCGTTAATTAAATATTTCGGGTACTAATTGGCTTAGAATCATCAAACTTTGTCAGTTGATGCCTCTTGGGTCTTCAGAGTAGGTCGACTAAAAAGTAGGTCACCGTGACCTACTTTTGAAAATTTATGGCTTTAATTAAATATTCCGGGTACTAATTGGCTTAGAATCATCAAACTTTGTCAGTTGATGCCTCATGGGTCTTCGGAGTAGGTCAACTAAAAAGTAGGTCACAGTGACCTACTTTTGAAAATTTATGGCTTTAATTAAATATTTTGGGTACTAATTGGCTTAGAATCATCAAACTTTGTCAGTTGATGCATCTTGGGTCTTCAGAGTAGGTCGACTAAAAAGTAGGTCACCGTGACCTACTTTTGAAAATTTATGGTTTTAATTAAATATTTCGGGTACTAATTGGCTTAGAATCATCAAACTTTGTCAGTTGATGCCTCATGGGTTTTCGGAGTAGGTCGACTAAAAAGTAGGTCACCATGACATACTTTCGGAAAATTTATGGCTTTAATAAAATATTTTGGGTACTAATTGGCTTAGAATCATAAAACTTTGTCAGTTTAAGCGTCATGGGTCCTCGGAGTACAACAACTGAAAAGTAGGTCACGGTGACCTACTTATGAAAATTTATGGCTTTAGTCAAATATTTCGGGTACTAATTGGCTTAGAATCTTTAAACTTTGTCAGTTGATGCGTCTTGGGTCCTCGGAGTACAACAACTGAAAAGTAGGTCACCGTGACCTACTTTTGAAATTTTATGGCTGTATTTAATATTTTCAGGAATTATTTGGCTTAGAGTCGTCAAAATTTGTCAGTTGATGCATCTTTGGTCCTCGGAGTAGGTTGACTGAAAAGTAGGTCACCTTGACCTACTTTTGAAAATTTATGGCTGTAATTAAATATTTTGGGTACTTATTGGCTAGAATCATCAAACTTTGTCAGTGGATGTATCTTTGGTCCTCGGAGTACAGCAACTGAAAAGTAGGTCACCGTGACCTACTTTTGAAAATTTATGGCTTTAATTAAATATTACAGGTACTAATTGGCTTAGAATCATCAAACTTTTGCATCTTGGGTCCTTGGAGTAAAACAATTGAAAAGTAGGTCACTTTGACCTACTTATAAAATTTCATGGTTATAATTTTAAAAAATATTTTAGGTATTAATTGGCTTAGAATCATCAAACTTAGTTGATGGGTCTTCAGAGAATGACAAGTGATAAGTAGGTCACCATGACCAACTCTCAGGTACTAATTGGCTTAGAATCATCTTGGGTTCTCAGAGTGTGAATTGGAATTTCAAGGGTTTATCTAAATATACAGGATACTTCGAGGCTTCAAATAGAAGTGATAGGTTGTACAGTTTATCAGAAGAGCGATTCAAGGCCCATGGGCCTCTTGTTTTATTTATTTATTTATTTATTTATTTTTTTTTTTTGCTGTTGTATGTAAATTCAAGAATACTATTAATTTTAACAGGTAGTCTGATAATAAACTCATTCTATCATTACTGAAAAAGTTCTTATTGTAAACTTGGAAGAAAAGGATGAGAGAGCAGTACAATTAAACCCCTGGGATTAATTATCTTGTCTGGGGCAGAAATTTTCCAGGCTTATCTTTATTTGTCACTTTAAGATAAATTAACCTTTGTCTGCAACTGATGTTTGTTTTGAAGTTAAGGTCAAGCTTGGGTGATATTTGCATTCACTGAAGGCTGGGATTTTATAAAACACATGCTTTATTCTTGTTTAAGGTAGGTCGCGGGTTTGCTTTTGTCATCAATTTTGGTACACAATTTCGACAATTCGAGCGGTTGTTTTGTGCACATTTGATTATGACGTCAGTTACGTCACAAAGGCGACGTTGTGTTGTTTCCCGTATAATTCTCTGAAAATAACTTCATTAAGGCCAACATTTTTTTATTTTCTGTTTTACAGGAATTTTTTTCAAAAATTTGAGTCGGGGGGTCGAAATAAAAATAAAAGCTCGAAATTTAAGCAGTCGGTCAGAAAAATAAAAATAAAATGAAAAAATACAATAAAAATTTTTATTTTTAATTAAGGTCGGATTTTTTTTGTATGACCTTAATTTGTTAGGAAAACAGTGTTATTTGAAAAACTTATAAATACAAAACACAGAATTGGTACTGTTAATGTATCAATGAACTATTTTAAATTTAACTTTCTCTTAGATATTTGGGGCAGGGAGTGCATTTCTAGTATTCAGCTTGCAGTTTCTAACATTAATGCAAATCAAACATACAAATCTATAGTCTTCTCTCAGTTGTCAAATATCATATTGTCACCACAGTAAACCTATAGGACTTATGTCACACCCCTCATAAACTTTTCAGAATCTTTTATTTTTCGGTATTCAGCAAATTACAAGATCTGAGGATTTTGAACTAACTCTGGCAAAGTTATGGAGAAAATACAGTGAGATGTTCAATGGATCAGCTAAAATAAATTAATTCACAGAATTCAAAGTGCACATGAGACATGATAAAAAGAAAAGTTGTATAATATTTTTTCAACGCAATTCCAATTAATATATGTAGGTGGAAAAAACGTACCACAATATCTCTGTTCAAAACATATTCAAACTTCCTCAGTCTGTAATATATTTGATATCTTTTTATCCTTATATTTTTCTTTCTGAGCATGCTAACTTTCAACATAATTGTAGAAAATACACATCTTCCCCATAGTATACACATGTAAAATACACATGACAATATTCTGTTTACTGCAGAATTTACAGATTTAATTGTTGAAACTGGTTCTAATCCACAACTTTTGAATGAAAAAAAAAGAAACCAGGTCTTCAATTGAAATAATAGTTGTAAATGCGTATCATTTACAAGAATACTTTTCCCTAGTGGTAAAAAAAAGTTGTTTTACTAAACAAGAGATATACATATACCAGTGTATACACTACATCAGCTGATATGAATACGCTGATCAACCAATGTACATTAATTTGTTACATAGCACGCAAAATTCCATAAAGCGACAAAAAGGAAATAATGTCTTGTATCAATCAAGCATATATATTTTCGTAGGTAATTTTGATTTCCAATATTTGTCATAAAACGAGTGAAACTTGTGAC